ACTGTCTGTCCAAACTACATCTGCTGATGTTTGGTGGTTGAAGCAGGAGAGACAGCAGTGATGGAGCTGCCAACCAGTCCTGGCTGCTGTAAAGAGTGTGCGTCATCATATTTATCTTACAACATAACAGGGGACCAGATACCAACAAAGTAAACGTGAAGCAAACACTGTGTTTGTGAAGCTTCACAAGTGTCAGATTGTCAAATCCAGTACGTGGTTAACATGTCAAGTGTCTGTGTGTCGCATCACAGTGTGACAGCACTCACTGGATTAAACCTTTTATAACTGTGATATTTCCTGTTAGCAGAAACCTAAACAATGACTCTTTTTATGCTTTCGTCTGTTGAGCCGGTCGGACGAGAAGTCAAAGCGTACGAACGCTTTCATAGAACAGCATCACATTTACTAGGAGTTTATGGTAAATGGCCTATATTTGTATAGCGCTCTACTAGTCCCTAAGGACCCCAAAGTCACCCTCAAACTGAACACTGTTTTACCCTCAGCTAGTTTGCATAAATCTCCTCTCCACACTCAGCTGCTTCCAAGGAAGGATCTCATCCTGCTGCTGGACTCTAACATCAGCCTTTACCTGCTCTGCGGATGTTGAGACCTGAACGGTCACTTAAACCAGGACCAGGAACACTAAGTCAGACCAGCTGCAGCCTGAAGTGGAGTCAGCAGGATTAGACTCTCACAGCAGGGTCGTGTGGTCGTGTTTTAGTGTTCAGAAAGCTCATTTTCTTTTTGTTGCTGTGCACACCGCTCACCCCACAGAAAACATGTAACACTGAACGCTGTGTTTAATTAGGACCTCAGCAGGTGAGGAAAGATCCACAGGTGCTTTGTGTCCTGAATCATTATTGAATCATTGAATCATTATTATAATCAAACACCTCAATAATCATATAAATGGTAACAACGAAAAGAGACAGCGCCGCTGCTTTAATGATAAATCAGACAGGTCAACCCAAAGAGATAGTGACCACTTCAACAAAGAAAACAACTATAAGGCTTCAACAGAAAAAGACAGCAACGCTGCTAGTAACAATACCAAGGCAGGCCAAACAAACTAATGGA